GTGGAGAGATCCCTGGAGCATGCACAGAATAGATATCTCTGCACAGATCTCTCTTCCACCATCACGACCTCAGGAAGGAGGAGAACCACTGCAAAACAGTGCATTCTCTCAGACATGTTAGAGAAGAAGGCCATGGTCAGGGGAACTGAAAGCCTCTGAAAGATCAAGGTGGGTTGCACTCCCCCAATCCTAGTCTTTCCATAAGTCATCCATAAGTGCAACCAATGCAATTTCCATCCTGTATCCCGGCCGGAAACCGATTGCCAAGGAGCCAAATCGTCGGCTTCCTGTAAGGCTCTCTGCACTTGCAGAGCATCAGCCCTTTCAGGCAAGCCTTTCAGGAATTGGACACCACAGAGCCTGTTGGAGCGCTACGATGCACCCCTTGTGGGGTACAAGAACAGAATCTTGAAAGCCTGTCAGAGTTTCCCACTGATGTCTTTTATGGGATTCAGAATCAAGACAGGATTATTTTTACTCTCTTAAGCAAGCAAAATGCTGAATTCCATTTCCTGTCTGCTGCTTTGCTCCACCTGCTCCCTCTAAATGAGGATGCAACTTTCTCCAGAACCTTTCTAAAAATGGAAGGTTGGAGATGTTCTAAAGTTGTCGAAAGCAGCTGGATGGAGAAGCCTTCCTGAGTGGGGGTGTGAGAAACAAACCTCAAGTTCCAAAGAATTAAGACAAATATCCACTGAAACAGCAAGGCATGGCCATTTATTGAAATAGTACGTTGTTGCAACAGTGGGTGTCCAACAAGTAGGCACACCCTGTGATAAGGTTCATGCACTTTTTATTCCCTATGCCCGAGCGAAAAGACCCTCCTCCATTTCCCCATTGGTTAGGTACTCAGGAGTTTACAACCTATCTGAAGTGCCTAAACTACCCACGTGAATCTCCGCCCTTTTTACATCTCCCATTACCCTTATTTTAGAAGCCCCTTTCCCATATTTATTTATTTCCTTCTATGGCAGTTTTTGACATTACTAGTACGTGCTCAGCGAGGTGGTTTCAGATCTTGTGTAACTATTACAAAACCAACTCAGGTCGGTTTGTTAGCTCTCTATTCAGAGACTCACGTACACAGGCTTCCTTGCATGTTACCACATCTTCTCCATTTCTTCTGCTTATTTTAAACAATCTAGCACTTCTTTACACTACCCCCCCCCCCCGTGCAATTAAGGACCTTGATTGTATCACTATATATGTTTTGCTTAGAAAATCAGGGGCCTGAGAGATCCCCTTCCACTACTAGTTGCTCATTTTATTTTAAAGCATATATGGTCAAATTAGCTTACTTGCAAAAACAACACTTTTATCATTTCTCACAGGGGGACACCACAGCCCCCTTCCTCCTGACCCCATGGAAATAACCCCCTTTCTCCCCTCTTTGCACGAGGTGCTGCATTGCACATGGCATCCACCAGGGGCCCCCCTCTGCAAAGAGGGGAACAGCATGCGCTTCACCGTTGGGCCACTGGAGGGCCACTGCCACGGTGGCTTTCCAGAGGAGGGTGGGAAAAGGAGTGACATCATTACTCACCTCTCTAGGAAGCTGCACTCTCTCTCTTTAACCCTTTGAGGTAAAAAGGCTGCAGGGAAGTCTTGCAGGGAAGTGATCCAGAGGAGGCCCTTGTGCAAAGGGAGGCAGAGGGTTCCCGCGCTGGAGAAGGGAGAGACGCAGGCCAAGTCCTCATACTGGTTCAATCTTCTGAGTCCTGGGTTTGGGCGAGCCTGAATCCCGTGTTCCCCTGCCACTCCTTTCCATGCAGTAACAGGCAGGGTGGAAGCAGAGCTCCAGACCAGCTGGGTTGCCCCCAGGAACAAATCCAGGATCCCCAGGAAGGAGGAGGGGATCTGTGGGAGCCCTTCGCACCCCATTTCCTGGGAAAAGCCTGGGGGGCGGCGAGAGGGACATTGCAAATCTCAAGCAGGAAAGAAGAAAAGCTTTGCAAGGAAGGAGGTGCCCGAGATTGTGCCTGCATTCTCACCATGTGCTGATGAGGCTGAAATAATGTTGGATCCTCTGCAGTTCAACTCATCTTAGGAGGGTGAGTGAACTAGGACATCCTCTTAAGCTACATTCTTTCAAGCCCTCTGCTTTGTGTGAACTCGGCCCCTGCAGTTGGGGGATCTGTTTGGGCTTAGGCCATGTTGTCTGAACCCGCCTGGGTGTCCGGGTGTGACTTGGCTCTTCAAAAGCAAACCCTGAAGAAAGGGAATTAGAACATCCCAAGCCAAGCTCATTTCACTGGCATTGCATTTTACCTGAGCTGAACGTTCGTGCTTTGTTAACCTGTTTGGGGTTTGGCGTGTTGTGTGAATCCTGCTTGTAGGGAAATGTAGATATGGGTTTTTAAAAAGCCAGCCCTTCCTTCTGAGCAAAAGAAATAGAAAATGCTCCAAAATGCATTTATTGGGTATTCCAAAATCTTCAGTGATTTCAACCCCTTTTTGCAACACACACACACAAATAAACACAGGACGTATCTGATCAATGCCACTGCCATCCTCAGAAAAATAGTGGCTTCCGTGGGGATGAGTGTTGTTCAATGGTGAAATCCATCACTTTCTAATTCTTGGAATTTATTTTCTTTTCCATCTCAGACCCACAAACTGGAAACCTTTTGTAGGTGCTCACATACAGACAACTTCTCTCTTGGGCAAAGAGGGCTGAATGGCCTGCTGTGGTCATTCCTGCAGCTACAGGAACAGTCCTATGAATGAAAAGGCATTTGGAGAGCCACCAGGTCCCTCAGACCCCTTTGGAGTTGCGTTACTGGACAGAGAAAGAATGGAGACACAACCCTTAGCAAGTGAGGGAACTGGAGAAGGCGCTATTCAGCCTGGGAGCTGTGGGGAGATCTGGGCAAGAACTGGGCAGAGGATCCTGGAAGAGGAAACCATCCGTTCAGAAGTTCAGCCCCAGAACTTCAGGAGCATCCAATACCAGGAGTATGAGGGTCCCCGAGGACTTTGCAGCCATCTCCACTACTTTTGTCGTCGATGGTTGAGACCAGAAAAGCACACAAAAGCGCAGATGCTGTACCTGGTTGTTCTGGAGCAGTTCCTGGCCCTTCTGCCCTTGCAGATGGCGAGCTGGGTGCGGGAGTGTGGAGCAGAGACCAGCTCCCAGGCGGTAGCCCTGGTGGAAGGCTTCCTCCTGAGTCAGGCGGAGGAGCAGAAGGAGCCGGTCGAGTTGCAGGTGGGAGACCTTCATTTTGGGAGCTCAGAAGGGGTTTGAATGAATAAACAATGTATTTAAATTCTTAACCCCTCCCGACCAGAGTTCTCTGGCATTCCTAATATGTGGAGATGTTTCATTAATTCTTGTAGGACATTGTTCCATTATCCATTCTAGAAGAAAGATTTGGGACAGCCGTTCCTTTCTTACTTTTCAGCCTCACTGATGGACACTGGGGGCTTTGAATATGTGTTCAGAGAATAAGAATCCACTTCACGTTGTGTGATGTCAGTTAATTCTTCTTCTTTTCTCCTGCCTATTATTTCAAGTCCTTCGCTGTGGGCATCAGAGATCCTGAGGGAAGGAGGAATCCATCCAGTCCCCCTCAGGAGCTGTTTTTCAGGAAGATCCCTCAGGAAGATCCAAGTCAGATCACTTCAGGAGGTAATCGAAGGCCCTCCCATTCCCCAGAGAGATCCCAGCTGTCTCATCTTCTCT